GTTCCATGTAGCTGACCTCAGTTTGACCCCAGCATCCCATATGGTGTCCTGGGCATGGCCAGGAGTAATCCCTAAGCACAGAACCAGGAGTAACTCCTGCACATATCTGTGTGTGACCCCAAAACAGAAACAAGAATTATATTTAGAGACTGGACAAATAGTATTATGGGTAAGGCTCTTGCCTTGTATGTGGCAAACCTGGATTCAATCAATCCCTGGTCCCTCGAGCCCTGCCAGGAGTGATTGCTCAGCACAGAGCCAGGAAATAAGCCATAAGCACCACCAGTATGGCCTATAGCAAAAAAATAATAATAATAATTTTGTTGAAGCCAGAGACACAGCTCAAAGGTCTGAACACAGGCACCCTGAGTGAGCTCGGCCAGGGGCAACCCTATCCCGTCCACCCAAACCGGCAGAGCTGGGAGTAGCTCTCAAATCCCATTAGGTGTGACCAAAATAACCCAAAAAGAACTCCATTTGTGCCTTAACCCTTTCCATATTGTTCCTTTTTTGCAGTGTTGTTTTCTGGCCCCACGTGGCCTCTTGCTCCACAGGCAGTAGTACCAGGAGGTGCCGGCAGGTGGCAGGAAGGGCACCTTGAGCACCTCTGGCCTTAAAGCAGTCTGTCCCAAGGCCCCTGGATCTGTCCCTGGCCCAGCAGATCAAGTTCTCTAGAGCAGCCTTGAGATTGGCTCCAAGAGGCCACATCCCCAGAGTGACAGCCTGGGACCGCCTTCCCCTCCAGGAGGAACTAGTCAGAATTTACATACCATGGCCTGGGATGACACTGGTTTCCTTAATTGCAGGGCTCTACTTCCTGTCTACTTTAGCCAAATCTCCCACACCCTTCCTATGAACTAGGAGGGCCCAGGACAGGCTTACTCACCACCCTCTACTCCACCCACTCGGCCATGGTCACAGCCAGAGGTTTGAGAAGGCAGGCCTAGGGCAAAATGCTAGCGTTATTTGGGGGCAGGAACCCCCACAGATCAGCTGGGGCAGAGTTCAGGCTGATGGCAGCCCCAGATCGGACCTGTTTTTCTGTTGCTAACTCACTGATAGGAGCCTGCCCCCCACTGCCTTCCAGCAAGAGCCTTGCCCTTCAGTGTAGGACAAACCTGGGTCTTCCAGAGACTTGGAGAGGAGGAAGCAGACGTTTGCTGGTGAGAAGAGGGAGGACGAGGCTATGGCAGTGAGTAAATGACCTCTTCCCAGCCATCCTCTGGGGTGTTGGCAGTCCTGGGAAGGGGCAACCCTGCAGACCCACAGCTCTCCTATGTCTACTCTTTAGGACCCCAGATTCTTTCTATGGTGCTGCCAGCCCCAATGACAACTCCTGCTTGCAAGGCAAGGTATGCCAGTGTTTGGGCTTGAGAGTTTCTTTTGCTGGTGGGGGGCAGGGGGGGAGGACAGTGGCACGGGCAGAATGATAGCACAGTGGGTAGGGCATTTGCCTTGCATGCGGCCAACCCAGGTTCTGTCCCCAGCATCCCATATGGTTCCCTAAGCACCCCCAGGAATAATTCCTAAGTGCAAAGCCAGGAGTAACCCCCGAGTATTGCTGGGTGTGACCGAAAAGTCAAAAAAGAAAAAAGAGGTGTTTTTTTTGTTTGTTTTGCTTTTGGGGTCACACCCAGCAATGCTCGGGGATGACTCCTGGCTCTTCACTCAGGAATTACTCCTGGCGGTGCTCAGGGGACCATATGGGATGCTGGGAATCGAACCCAGGTCAGCTGCATGCAAGGCAAACGCCCTACCTGCTTGTGCTATCGCTCCAGCCCCGAAAAAAGAGTTTTGGGGACAGCTGGGTCTCCTCACTGGCCAAGTGGATAGGACATGGCTGGGGGGAACTTCACCCATCTGGGAGGCTCCTTCCCTAGTCATCCTGCACCCAAGGGAGGTTTACTTGTCTCTGGGACAGAATTTGGGGGAGACTCAGGGTGAGGCTGGGGGTGGGGAAGGGATGGAAGGAGGCCAGGCTGCTATCTAGCCAGGTTGCTAATTTCCCAACCATCTGGAATTTACAAACTCCCCAGTTTCCCCAGCAGCGGCTCAGCTCCTGTAACCAGGAAACCCTGAGGAGGAAGAGCCGGCAGGGCAGCCACCTGTAGCCCGCTCTCCTCCCCCCCCTGCACCTTCTCCACAGGAGTTGCCTTCTCCACAGGAGTCCTGAGCTCCACAATGGCCCAGGGCCACCCAGCTACTTGAGCCCAAGCCTTGCCTGGCTTCCGTCACCACCATGGGAACTGATATGTCCTCTCAATCTCTCTAGAGGTGGCCAGGATCATCGTGTCCCTTTTTCAGGTGGGGAAGGAGCTTCCAGAGGGTGGTAGGGAGAACTTTGCAGTTGGAACCCACGTCATGGGAAAAAAATATCTTGGGCATTGGGCCTGGCAGCCTCCCAGTGCCTCTGCCCAGAAGCCAGATTGAGAAAGAGGCTGGGAGGGAGATTTCCAACCAGATGGCTGGTCCAGCCAGATCAAAGCTGCTGGGCAGCACAGGGGCAGTTTGGCTGACTCAGTCCTCTGGGAGTTCAGCCCCAGCAGGTGACCTCCGTTGGTGCCTATAAGTGGACCAGCAGGGCGAGGCAGCAGTCACAGCCAGTCTGGGCCCACAGCCCACCATAGTCTTATAGAATCCCTCCCCACTCCCCAAAAGCATAAGCAGCAGATGACCAGGAGTGAGCCCCAGCTGCCCGGTGGCCTGGGAGGAGCGGCGAGAGCACGCCTCTTCTTCCAGGCCACCCCTCCAGACTAGGGGCCTTCATGTTCCATGGCATCATGCAGAGGGGACTCGGGAGTGGTCATTCCTGCTGCCACATTTAAAGGACCCATGGGTATGTTGTAAACCTGAGAGGACTGAGGGCAGGGCTTAGGCACCCCCACCGACTCCCTTCCACTCAGGGTTCTCTGAGTCACTGCACATATGTCCCACAATGTCCCTGTTCATGTCCTCTACCCAAGGCTCAGCCCGTGTCATTTGTGGGACCTGGGACAAGCCACTGGACACTGCCAATGCTGAGAATGAACTGCACACCATATGTGGTGCTGGGGATTGAACTGGGTCAACTGTGTGCAAAGCATGTGACTTAATCCCTGTACTGTCTGGATGCAAATATAGAGTTTGGGGGATTTTGTTTTTTGGGGGATTTTGTTTGTTTTTCTCTCTTTTGGGCCACACCTGGCAATGCTCCGGGTTACTACTGGTTCTATGCTCAGGAATTACTCCTAGTGGCTCTTCAGAGACCATACAGGGTGCCAGGGATCAAACCTGAGTTGGCAATACAAGACAAGTACCCTACTTGCCGTATTATTTCTCCAGCCCCTACAGTTCTTAACTGGGAAAACTTCTAAATTTTTAAGGCAACCTTTTTGTGTGTCGGCCCAATCTCTCAAGAAGCCTGGAAGCCACATGAGGCTCCAGAAGGGCATGCCACAGGCTTGGGGAGTGACACTGGCTAGAATCTCCTTCACAGAACCTCTGAACAGCCTGCCCTGAATTGGTTCAGGGGAGGGTGAAGAGCCTGACACCCAGGGAAGTGGCCTGTGTGGCTCCAACCTGCCACAGGTGCCCTACCAAAGTAGTATCCTCCCTTTCCTCCGATTGGGTCACACCCAGCGATGCTCAGGCTGGATTTACTCCTGGCTCTGCACTCAGTAATCACTCCTGGTTGTGTTTGGCAGACCATATGGAGTGTTGGGGAATCAAATGTGGGTCAGCTGTGTGCACGGCGAGCACCCTGCCTGCTGTACTATCATTTCAGCCCTGCAAAAGTAGTTTCTTTAAAAAAAAAAAAAAAAACCTGTTCAGGCTGAAAGCCCTGGAGCATATGCTTTGAATATTCAAGACTGGATTCGGTTCAGTCCCCAAAAGTGCAGGAGCATCACTGGGTGTGACTCAAAACCCAAAAGCTACCCAGAGCTTCATGAACAGTAGGGCCAAATGGAATCTAACTACCAAGGTGACTTTTTCCATGTTTCCTGCTGATACTGCGTGTGAGGGGATCACCCGGCAGCCTTTTTCAGTTAAAATCTTGAACATTTGTTGATTCTTTTTATTCCCCATCTCATCCCCAAGCAGCACGCCCTCCCTGGCCTCGCCTTGCGTGAGGGAGAAAGCAGAAGTGGCACGCAAAGGACAGTGAGCCCCAGAAGCCATGAATGACCTTTTAATGACCTTTGTGCCAGGCATAGGGCAGACCCCTAAGACCCGTAATCTCATGGGCCCCCCCTCAATCCTCGGCCCCAAGATAGGTGTTACCCCCACTCACAGATGAGGAAACAGACCCAGATGGGGAGTCAGCCCCCTGCCCCTGGGGCTGTTGATGGCTGAGCTGCCTGTGGAATTTGGACCAGGGCCACTGGCCACCTGTTTACTCTACCACCATGAGGCTGAGTAGAGGTTTCCTGACTTTCTACACGGGCGCTGGAAATCAGCAGTCAAGCCGCAATCACTTTTCATGGCTTGGCTGAAAATGTCTGCAGGCCAGCAACCAGTTCACAGGCCAGCACTTGAAAACCACTCATCTGGAGGCTTGCATGTGGCTGGTCATCCCCAGCACGGCATGGTCCCCTGGGCACTGCTGGACCAATAGCCAGGCAACACCCAGGAGGAATTCCAGCACCAGTGGGTGTGGCCAAATCCCTCCCAAAACAAATTACTGCTCTAGGGCTCAAACACACCTGGGAGGTACCACTGGAATAGCAACCCCCCCCCCCCCCCCCCCCCGCACACACACACACTCTTTCCACCTATCTCATCCTTTCCCATCTTTCACTCTAGTCTCAACCAGCAGCCCGACCCCAGTGCCATCCCTCCCCACAGTGCAGCCCCAGGACCCAAGCCTTTTCATCCTTCTGCTGAGTCCCATCCCCACCTCCGCCCCCATGTGTCCTGGCCACCTCTCTCCAGCCCAGACCAAGGCCTCAGGAAGTAAGCTGCGGGGACTCAGACCCCTTCCTTCCAAGCAAGTCATCAGCAGGCAGGTCCAGACAGCTAAGACCAGCATGTCTTCAAAGGGCTCACACTGTACTTTATTGATGTGTTAAGGGCGACAGAGACTTTCTGCTTGAACATTTCACACCCGCGTGTGTGTCCCCCAGCCTCGGTGAAGGGGGCCGTGGCTCCAAGTACAGGGGAAGGGAGAATGGGCAGACAGAGATGGGTTATTAAGAAGCATCTTGCTTACTAACATGAAGCCTCGTGCCCAGGAGAGGGCGCTGTCGAGGCCTCATTGGCTTAGAGAGGGGCCCTTGCAGCAGGGCAGGCACACGGTGCCCAACAAGCCAGCTAAGGCTGGCATCCCAGGGACAGGACGGGGTGGAGGGAGGGGGTCTCGCACGGGGCCCCCAACCCAGGCCTCTGCTCCCCGCCCCCCCGCCTCCCTCCCCGTCCTCTGAGAGAAAGGTGGGTTTGGGCTTCAGCCACAGACTGACGGCCGTTACCGGCAGCGTCTCCTTAAACTACAGAGATACAATGTGCATCAACAGGGTGATCGTCCCTGGCCCGCACCCGCTCGGGCAGACAGCGAGGGGCGCCGCGTAGGCCAGAGCCAATCCTACAGTATCTTTGGTTTGTGGGTTCCCTTCCCGACTTGAAAGCTCCCTGCATGCTGTCCGCAGGGTGGGCCTCGGGGCTTGGCGCGGGCCTGGGGAGGCCCCAGGGGCCACCAGCGCAGCTTACTCAGCGAGGTGTGGGCACTTGTACGAGATGATCTCGGCCGCCAGCTGCTGGGGGTCCAGGAGCTGCGGGAAGCGCCCCATCACCGCCTCCACCAGGTGTTGGGGGAAGACACCGCACAGCTTGGTGTACACACTGGCTCGCTCCTTGGCCAGGCTGCCCACCCCGGCCCACGAGCCCCTGTCGACCCCTGGGCCCGGCGTGGGGGACTCCTGTAGCACGGGGGTGGGGGGCGGCAGCTGGTAGGGCTCCGACCAGTATTCTCGAGGCGGAAAGGCGGCCGGTGGGGGGGCATAGTCGGCAGGGACACTGAAGTGGCCAGTGCCCACGGGCCGTCTAAAGGCGGAGAACGCCGAGGGGGCCGGCGGCTCAGCCCCATAGGGGCTGTACCCTAGGTACGGGCCCCGCGGTGGGCCTGGCTCCCCAGAGCTGCCTCCACGCCCCACCCACAGTTCCGACATCTGGCTCTCCAGGGAACCGATGCCGGAGTCCAGGCAGTCCTGGGAGGTGTACTGGAGCGAGTCCAGCGTCTGCGGGACCCAGTCCGTGGGCCCATAGCTGCCCCCGCTGGGCGCGAGGCTCCTGCTGGGTGGGGCGAAGGTCTGTGTCAGACCCTCCCGGTGGGGCCCTGGGGGTGCCTGGACCCCCACCTTCTTCCCGTCCTCACGCTCTGTGGACAGAGAGCTGGGTCGGGATGAAGGGGAGGGCCGGCGGCCGCCCTTGTCCTTGACCGTAGCTCGCGGGGGTACGAGGAGGGCGTTGGCACGCAGCTCATCGGCCACGGAGCGCTGGGGGCGGCTGGGCCGCTCGGGGTGGAAGAACCGGCACTTGATCCCATAGGTGCACTTCCTCCCTGGAAGGGAACGCGGGGGGTCTGAGCAGGAGGAGGGTGGGGAGGGGCAGCCCCCAGGACGCAGGCAGCAGGGACAGGCTCCGTGGGAAGGAAGGAAGGAGGCGGGAGGGAGGCGCTCACCATAGGGACAGGGTTGCTTCCGGTGCTCCGCCGGGAGTGGCTTCTTCCGCAGGAAATTGTCCAGGCTTGGCCCATGGCGGCCCAAGGGGTCATCGGGGGGCATGAACCTGCAGAAGTGGAGGACATCAGGGAGGATGTCCCCCTGCTGAGGGGGCAGGGTGGGATGGCCAGTGGGAAGGCGGAAGGGCCTGACGACAGGGTGGCCACGTGTCGGGGGCTGGGCACCAGAGCTGCAGGCTGCCAAGAGCTGCCCCTGGGCACCCGGGGGTGGCTTGGGACCACTGACCACTACCATCTGGCCACTACCACCCTGGGCGCCCAGATGAAATCCCCGCCTTCCCCACGCCACCTCCCCGCTGGTCGTCCACGCACTTGTCGTTGACGAAGGAGTACATGAGCAGCCGCTCCTCGATGAAGCGCTTCCACTCCTGCCGCTCGCCCTGCAGGTCGCGGTAGGTGTCGTTGGAGACCACCACCCCGTCGGACTCGTAGGCCAGCTTGACGATGAAGCGGTCGTCGTAGCACACCACCCGCTTGCCCCCGACGCGCCGCGAGGGCGTGAACACCAGGATCTTCTTCTTCTCCAGCTCCCGCAGGATGTGCTGGTCTGGGTGGGGTGGGGTGGGGGGCAGAGGCCAGGGCACGAGTTAGGACTCAAGGCTGGAGTCAGCCCAGGGCGCTGACTCCAGGCCCACGGGAACCGGCTCTGCCCGGACACTCCACTGCCAGCCCCTCACCTGCAGTTAGCGCCGGGGTGCCCTGGCAGGTCCCGCTCAGCAGGGGAGCCTGCTGCAAAGCCGGCGCCCCTCCATCTCCCTCAGATTTCAGGTCTGCTGAGCTAGGGGTGCAGCCGCCCTGCCCATCCCTAAGGGTATGTGGCTGGGCCCAGGGGTGGAGGATGTCCTGGCTTTCCCCTGCATTGTCAAGACACTTGAGCTCACCGAGGGACAGAAATTCGGTCTTTACCCCCAGGAGTTCGCTCTGGGCATCTAGGCTGTCCTGTGGTGGTGGGGAGGCCGGGGCATGTCCAGGTCCCAGTGGTGGCCCTGTCACTGGGGCTGTGGACAGGGCCCCGTGGGTCTGAGGACAGAGCCAGTGCCTGGAGGCTGAGGCCAAACACAGCGACTCCAGCAGCAACTGTCAGCAGGGACGTGGGGTGCAGCCAAAGCCAGAAAAGAGGTGCTGGACCAGCAGCCTGGGCAGTCGCCAGAGGGACAGGAGAAGCTGCTCACCTGTGATGGGCACGTCCGGCCTCGGCTGCTCCTTCCTCCAGGATGGGACGAACACTGTGATGTCCGCGTGGCCCCGCTCCAGGAACCAGTTCACCGCCAGCAGGATGCCCCGGCAGGAGAAGACCTCCTTGTTCCCGTGGCTGGGGTGAGAGGAGGGGCAGGTCAGACAGGCCTGATGCCTGGGGGGCTCAGCCCGTGCTCCCCCAGCCCGCCCTGCTGCTCTGCATGGCACTCGTCCACCTGGCCTACCGGGATGGCCCGACCCGATGACAGGGACTTTCCCTGCGCTCCCATCTCCCGTCAGAGAGGAGCCGCCCAGGAATCCGGCAGCACCGCTGGGGGGTGGGGGGGTGGGGGAGAGGGTGTTGGGCCCTTGCAACACACCTGGGGGTGGGGAAAGGCGTAGGGAGACTCTGGTTCCTGCCTCGCCCGGGTGCCAGGGCTGGGGACACACGGCCACATGGCCACAGGCGGACTGAGTCACCACCCACCCCTCCCGCTCTGGCTGCCGCCCTGGAGTCCAGGGGATTAAAGTCCAGCCTGCAAAACCCAGGGCCAGGGCCGGAGGAGGACAAGGGGCCCTCACCAGCGGTGACAGAACAGGGATGGGCGGGGACATGGGCTCAGGAGCCTGTCAGTGTGAAAGGGAAAGGACTTGGCACTTCCTCCCAAGACAGCAGATTCCCCCAAACATGGGCCCCGCCCTGTCTGCTGCTCTGCGCTGACCCCTCCCCAGAGGAGCAGGGCCAACACCCCAGCATTGCTGGGAGGCCTTAGGAGGGCTCTCTGTAAAACGAGCTCAAAGTCTACAAACTCCTCAGAGGGCCCTCGGCCTCTCTTCCTGGGTGCTGGAGGCACCAGGTAGGGAGGCGGTGGCAACTGGTTTCCTGGGAGGGAGGGGCGCTGGCAGGTGTCTTGCTGGGGGGGGGGTCCCTCCCCCGCAGCCCCAGCCTCGTACACACCCCCGGTTGGTACAACTCAGACTGATTTGGCAAAATGAACAGAATCAACGTTACGCAAAAGAGTCAAGTCCAATGCCGACCACATCCTGTGGCTGACTATGGGGTGTGAGGCGGGAAGAGGGTGTGGGGCTACGGGACAGCTAGGGGCAGTGAGGCTGGGCGGACGGGCAGGGGGGCGGGGGTGTGGTACGGTGGGGGCAGCAGGGTCTGAGGATCTCTGAATTGTTGGGGAGGCAAAGTCCAGCCCGAAAGGCCAAGTGCTTCCATCCGTGGAGAGCCTGGCCTGGAGGAAACCGAGCACTGGGCACCCAGATCTGTGTCCTGCAAGCAGGGTAGGGAGGAAGGAACACCTTCAAGGCCTGCCTGCCCCACCTCCCCCCTTCTGCAGGAGAAACCCGTGACCACAGCAAGGTGCTCAGGCTCATAGGAGGGGAGGGGACAGGACACCCTTCTCCGCAGGGATGCCCAAAGCCCTTGCCAACCTGCCACAGGGACAGTGCGGGGACAGTGCAGGTGAGTGGGAGTCTGCTCTGTCCATGGGGGTGCAGCACCCGTGCACTCCAGGCTGCTCCTCAGAGAACTTGTACGGAAAGGGAAGTCCAGCTCCCCGTGTCTGCTCAAGGCGCCCAGCGCGGCATCACAGACGGAGCTTGGACTGCAAGACCCTAGAAGCATCCGCATCCGGGAGAAGAGAACTCAGGGATTTGGGTTGGGCTTTGAGGGGAGGCAAGCCGTAAGCGGGAGAAAGCACGCGGCCAGCATGGTCTTCCTTCTCCTCGAGGACTCAAGGAACATGGCACCACCTCCTAGAAGCCTTTCCTGTTTGGTCTGTCTTCACAGTGCTCACAATCCCCCTATCTCTTCCCTCCATTCCCGGGCCCTCGGCTCTGCCTGCCTCCAGGGTACCATCTGTGCACTGCAGCCAGTCACTCCTCTGGGCACGTGAATGCCTGCACATGTCCAGCCTCAGCCAGCAGCTTCAGGCCCTAGGACTGCACGGGATGCCAGGATGTCGGGGGCATACCGCCGTATGATCTGGTCACCAGTGAGAGGCCATGGTCCCTAGGGACGCTATCCTAGAGCTGCGATGGGCTGTAGGTGCCCCGTCCCAGACACTGTGGTCCCTCTCTCTACGGCAGTCCCGCAAGGAGAGCGCCCAGGGATGCAGCTGGGAACCTGAGTCCCAAATAAGCCACATGACTGAATACAGCCTCACCAGTGCCCAGCTTCCAGGGCACTCCCTGAGCGGCAGGCAGAGCCTCGCTCTTGTTAGAGTCCCTCCAGGGGACAGTCCAGACCCTGCCCGCCCAGGACAGGAACACCTCCCTCCAGCCCACGTGAGCCTCTTGCTGCAGCTTGGAGGGCACGAAAGACAGAGGGGAGTTCCAGACCAGAGTCACAGGACAGCACACAGGGAGGGCACCTGCCTTGCTCTTGACCGACCTGGGTTCAATCCCCGGCATCCCATGTGGTTGGTCCCCATTAGGAGGGATCCCTGAGTACAGAGCCAGAAGGAAGCCCTGAGCACTGCCGGGTGTGGCCCCAAAACAAACTAAAAAGATAGAGGGAAGCCTCTCACAGCCCTACTGCAGTCCTATGGGCCTGGCAGCCCTCCCTCCCCCCTCCACCCCGCCCCTGCTATGGGCCAGCCAGATGGGGGAGAGGAGGTGCCGGTATCCAGGAGGTTCCAGCTCAGCCCACTCCTGCCAGGACAGAGGGCAGGTCCGGCCAGGCACACTGGATGAGTGAGAATATCTCCCCATCTGGGCCCAGCGCAGGGAGAAAAATTCCCTTAGAAGGAAACAGAGGTGAATTTCCCCACGATTTGCATATGATGGGGGCTGGCCCGCCTGCCAGGCAGAGGGGGGGAGGGGTGGCAGGGCAGGAACCCAGTAACAGCTGAGACAGGAAGTCTCGGGCTGGAATTCCCCTCCGGCTTGAGCCCCAGCTCAGAAACCCCCAACAGCTTTGCGCAAACTCTGGGGGCCACCCCCTGCACCGCGGCCCCTCCCCCCTCCCAGGCCCCTCCTCCTGCGGGATCAAAGCACACCCAGCACATGGCCCCCACCCCTCCCCAGAGGAAGGGGTCAGCATCCACCCCAGCTGGTGCCCTACGCACGGCCATGGACCCCAAACTCTCCAAACACAGAAGGCTTCCTCCACCTCCCAGCAAGCCTCGACCCATTCCAGAGGCTGGAGCAAGAGGCTCACAAGCCAGGTGCCCCGACCAGCCAGACAGCTGACTTGCCCGGCAGCCCAGGGCTGGAAACAAGCGAAGAGGCAAATCAGCTACGCTCCACCGGGGCCAGTCCTGGATTGCCTAGGGAGGCGCCCTTCCGGCCCCAGGTCGGGGTCTCCCCGTTCACACCCACAGGAACTTTTCCTGGTGAATGATCCACCCAAGCCCTGACTCACCAGCTGGCTGGAGGGACGGGGAGAAAGCAGCGCCAGAGGATGGGGCTCCCTGGGGTCGGCGACACCCCCTGGGAGCCCCGGCAGCATACTCTGGGGGCTGACCTGGGGAGCCCTTGAGGTCAGACCTGCCCAGGCGGTTCTGGCTCCCTGGAGAGACTCAAGTCCCCGCTTTCCCGAAGCTACTCTAAGGTCCCCAGGCCTGGAGCCAGATCTGGAGGCCACCGAGACTCCTCTGGAGCAGGGCCTGTTCCGTGGGCCCAGAGGCCGGCCACAGTCACAGGCCCTGTGGGGTTGGGGGCCAGTGCCGACTCCCTGGGGAGGCGGGGGTGCCATGTGTTCTGGGCACTCATGGCTCCAGTGGCCCCGGGCTCAGAGGAGGGGACAGGCTGGAGGCTGGACACACTGACCCTCCCACATGCCCATCTGCTGCCCAAGGCGGGAAGTGTTCATGCTCAGGGTGGCTCAGGAGCTGGGGCTGCAGCCCTCTCCCACTCAACAGGAGTGTGTCCCCACGCCAGTCCGGGAGCCCCAGTCTCAACCAAAACAGTCCCGATATGTGGCAAGGATAACAGTCGCTGCCTGACACACGGTGGGACCTCCAAAAAAAGCCCCTTCCTTCTCCTGGACACGGCGGTGGCCTTCCTGCCTGAGGTACCCGGTCGCCATTCCCGGCCACTGGCCACCATCTGGTACGTTTCTGGTGTGGATTTTGGGCAGTGCTCAGAAGTACTCCTAGCTGGGCGCTCAGGGGGTCAGTCCTGGTGGTGCTTGGGGGACCAGAGGCAGTGCCGGGGATCGAATTGGGGTCGGCAACATGGAAGGAAAGCGCTTTACCGTCTGCACAGATCTCTCCGGCCCTGTGCCAGGGCTTGAACCCAGGGACTTGCCCTTGCCAGACGGCTTTCTGCCACGGACCCACGTTCACAGCCCTCTGCAGGGTTTTGGCCACTGATGAGACACATACCTCATGGCCACGTTGCTCCCATCGATGACCACGGGTCTCAAGTCACTGCCGTCCTTGTCCTCTTCTGGGGGAGAGGGCTCCAGGGTGGGCACTTTGGGTGGACCTCCTCCCCGAGGGACCAGAGGGAGCTGTGGGCCAGGGTCTGGGGAGGCCTGGCGCTCACGCTCGGGCCGCTGACCCATGCTTCACCAGTTCACCCAGCACCGTGTTGGTGTCGGCCTGGACCCCCAGCTTCTGCAGGACGCTGTGGATCTCAGCAGAGGAGTAGCCCAGCTTCCGGAAAAAATCCACCTTCATCTGCATCTCCGTGGCCCATGCCTCGTCCGGGCTAGGCGCCGGGGCCGGCCGGGCGGTGCCTTGGCTGCTGTGGCCGTCTTCCAGTTCCCACAGACTCATGGCGGGGGTGTGGGGTCTTGGGGGAGGGGGGTGGGCCTTTCTCCACTGGCCACTCAGAGCTCAGACCTGGGCAAGGCACCTGCCACCGCTCCTGGGGGAGAAACCACAGGTCTTCAGGGTGCGGAAGGGCGCTCTCTGCAGCGGAGCGCGCGCAAGCAAAGCCATCACGCATTACTGCTCCCGTGAGCGCGCCGCAAAGTTCCCCCCAGCTAGCGATCGGCGTTTCCGTGAGCTCCGAGACGAACCCGAGCCACGCACGGCTAGCACAGCACGGAGAACTTGAGCTCGCGATCACGCAGCTGTTCCCGAGTGGCGCAAGGCTTTGAACTTGGGCCGAACGACTCCACCCCCAGCCCCCACGCCAAGTCCGGAGACCCAGAAACCCGGCGAGGCCTCGCAGGACCTCGGCGCGCCCCCACCGCCGCGGGCCGGGCGGGGCCAGGGAATCCCGGGTGGGACGTGGGCGCTCCGGGCCCGGGCCCGAGGTTCCGGGCCGGGCCAAGTTTCGGGGAGAAACGGCGGCCGAGAAAAGTTGCTGGGAAACTCTGCTGGGCCGCCGGTGGCGCGGCGGGGGGCCGATCCCGAGCCCCGCGCGCCCGGGGCGCCCCCCAACTCGGTGTAAGTCGGAGAGCCGGGGGCGGGGGTGTCCGACGGCCGGCGAGGCCGCCGGGGACCGGCCCCACGTCCCTCCCCTGCCGGAGGGGCCCCCCGGCACCCTCCCCTCCCCTCCCCGCCCCGCCGCGCGCCCCCGCGCCCCCCGCGCCGCCGCGCGCTCCTCACCGCGCCCGGCGCCACCCGCGGCCGGCGGCGTCTCCATGGGGCCGAGCCCGAGCCCGGGCCCGCAGCGCCTTTTCACGGCCGGGGCCGGGGGGCGGGAAGGCCGCGGAGCGCGATGCGGAAGCCCGGCAGGGGCGGAGCGGCCACCGCCCCTTCCTGCTCCGCCCCTGCCGGCCCGGCTCGCCGGCCCGGCTTCCCCCGGCGGGGGGCGCGCGCCCGCCCTGCCCAGGCGGACCCGCGGGACGGCAGCGCCCGGCCCGGGGCCGTCTCGCAGGGTGCCCGGGCAGGGCCCGGCAAGTCCCGCGACCCGAGACCGTTTGCGGAGTGCGTCCCGACCGACCGGGGCCCCGGGTGGCCCCCGTGCGCCGCTAAAGGCGGCCTGGCACAGCCGCGCGCTCGCCAGGTGACGGGCACAGGCGGGCCGCCCCCACGGCCAGGTACCTTCTTGAAATGACCTCGCCGCGAGCGAAATGCTGGCAGGCACAGCCAGCAAAGGACAGCGGCAGAAAAGCTGGCCAAGGACAGGCCAGTGCTCCCTGAGTATGATCACACCGTCAGCGGGCAGGCTGGTGTTCCCCGGAGTGCTCACACTCTGAGGACGCTAGGGCGTCCCTTCCCCTCCGGGGGCACCGCCGGGAGGATGCTTGTGAAGTTCCCGGGACAACCGGCTCTGGGCCCTCACAGCCTGCACACTCCAGCACCTGCCCGGGACCGCTGTGCGGGAACCTTGGAGAAAGTCAGAAAAGGCTTTCGCCCAGCTGATGGGGTGAGGCCAGGATGTCTCTTTCCGGAGTGCCAGATGCCACCTTTGCCGCTTCTGAAACCACCAGTGATCTAGGGGAAAGGGGAGACTTCTCGTGGGGGTGTGGCCTGGCACCTGCCCTCAACTCTGGGGGAGAGAGAGAGAGAGAGACAGAGACAGAGACAGAGACAGAGAGAGAGAGTACAAAGGAGCCCACAAGCTAGGAAGCAAAGCCCTGGCAGTGCCACCAGTGGGGAAGCTGAGATCCAGGCAGTCAAAGCACTCAAAAGTCATTCCTACATGTCACACAATCACTTCTGTCTCTCTTACTGCTGGCATGTTAGCACAAGCACCAGCATTATAAAATGGTTTCTTTGGTGAAAGCCACTGTGTGCATACACAACTTAAGCAATCATAATAGGGTAGCAAAATATCCATGGATTCATCTCATAACTTCAAACACGGACTCGGGCCAGTGAGATAGAACAGGGATCAAGGCACCTGTTCTCAACAGACCGGGGTTTGATCCCCGGCACCTGATATGGTCCCCCCCACCTCAACCCCCAGTCCCCAGTACCGAGGACTGCCAGGAGTCATCCCTAGGTGTGGCTTCATGCAAAGCAAAACAATATGCACGGAAAGAAGGGAAGGGCATGTAAAAAAAATAATTAAAAAGCCTGGAGCCCAAGTAATGGTACAGCAGGTGGGGCGCTTGCCTTGCATGAGCCTGTTTAAACACCAGTTCCGTTCCTGGTACCTCCCGGTCCCCTGAGCAATGACAGGAGTGCATTCCTAAGCACAGAGCCAGGAAGAGTCCCCAGCACTGCCAGGTGTGCCCCCAAGCTCCCCTCCAATAGGCTTAGACCAGTCATTTAAAAACCTCCAGTGCCCCCAAACCAACCTCGCCCTTATCCTGAAGTATTTCTGTCTGGCCTACTTGTGTTATTATTCATCCCATTAAAATTGTGGTTGTTCCCTTGATTTCCCTTTGAAGGAACCCCTAAGTATCACATTCATTTCTTCCTATTTTGGGGGGTTTCATATCTGGCAATGCTCAGGGGTAGCTCCTAGCTCTGCACTCAGGAAACACCCCTAGGGGCTCTGGGGACCATATGGAATGTCAGGGATCAAACCAGAGTGTGATCAAAGCAAGTGCCTTACCCACTTTACTATTGCTCTAACCTCAATCTCTCTTCTTCCTTCCTCTCCCTCCTCCCTTCCTCCCTCCCTTCCTCCCTCCCTCTCTCCCTCCCTCCCTCCCTCCCTTCCTTCCTCCCTTCCTTCCTTCCTTCCTTCCTTCCCTCCATCCTTCCTTCCTTCCTTCCCTCCATCCTGAGCAGTGCTTGGCTCTGTGCTCAGGAGACCATATGGGGTGCTGGATCAAACCCATCTTAGCTACAGGCAAGGTAATCGCCTTACCTGCTATATTCTCTCTCCCTCCCCTGTTTACATTTTTAACATTGTGCAAATGGATTCTCTTCCACCTGCTTATATGACTTACCCTTCTCACATAATAGTTTATTTACTTATTCATTTGGGGGGCACACCCGGCAGTGTTCAGGGCTTACTCCTGACTCTGTGCTCTGGGATCACTCCTGACAATGCTGAGGGGACCTTACAGGGTGCCGAGGATTGAACCCAGGTCAACCATGTGCAAGACAAGCACCCTACCTACTCTACTATCATTCCAACCGTCACACATTATTTTTTAAATTCCATTTATATGAACTAAATATTTTATTTCTTTTGTTGTTGACTGATACTCCATTTCAGAAATGTAGCACTGTAGCACTGTCCTCCCATTGTTCACCAATTCGCTCAAGTGGGCACCAGTAATGTCTCCATTGTGAGACTTGTTACTGCTTTTTGGCATAACAAATACGGGGAGCTTGCCAGGCTCTGCTGTGCGGGCGGGATACTCTTGGTAGCTTGCCGGGCTCTCGAGAGGGACGGAGGAATCGAACCCGGGTCAGCCGCGTGCAAGGCGCCCTATCCACTGTGCTATCGCTCCAGCCCTTCAGAAATGTACCACTACTTATTTATCCACTTTCCTCTTGTGTGTAGATTGTATCTATTTACTTCATTTTTAGCTCTTGCAGAGAATGCTTTGGATATTCTTGTCCAAATCGTTTAAAAAATATTTTTGCCACCCCCAGGTGGGGCTCAAAAGGTACCATATAGGATGCTGGGGATGGAATCTGGATTGGTTGCACGCAAAGCAATCACCCTACCTGCTTTGCTATTGCTCCAGCCCCTCTTTCTTTTCGGGGCAGAGGGGATCTTTGGGTCACACCCGACAATACTCAGGAGTTACTGCTGGCTCTGCACTCTGGAATCATTCCTGGTAGGCTCATGGGACTATATGAGATGCTGGGGCTCGAACCCGGCTGCAACAGGGGCGAATGCCCTCCCCACTGTACTGTCTCTCTGATCCCTCGTGTGCATAGCTTAAGGCAACTGTCCAGCTGAGAGCATGAGTGCCCAGAAACTTAGAAAGTTGGTTTCCTTGACCAGCCACCCACAGCTGTGAAGCTGGAATTCAGGTGGCCTTCCCGAGGCAGACCGTCTCCACCCTGAGCCCCTCTGATTCCTGGAAGACAGAAGGCCTGGGAAGAAGGGGTGTGCTGTTCAGGTTGGGGCCTGAAGCGGTTCCTCTGGTAAAGTTCCTGTGTTGCTGGGCCTAGTCATTTTTTAAAAAATTTTATTTTTGTAAGCTTGTTCATATTAATTGATTACACTCAATATTCCAACACCAATCTCACCACCTTCCCACCATTATTTCAAATTTTCCCACCACCATTCAAGCCTGCCTGCCAGGGGCAGATGTTAGATAATTTATTTACTATTGCTTTTTCTGAATATCATGAGAGGTTGCGCTTCTGGATTCTAAAATTGCTAATGGTTGGGGTCCTGAGACATCTCTGTAGGGAGCGAATCCATTTTGAGATTCATTTGGGAGTCTCTGGATCAAGTCTGTTGGATGTGCTGAGATGGTGCCCCGAGGCAGATCATGGGCATGATAGCCAGGACCCCAAGCAGGTGGGAAGATGAGAAGGGACAATCCATCTCCAGTCTCCGCTGCTGCCATGTGGCCAGGAGTCTTAATGCTTGAACCCACATACCTGTATTTTGCTTCTGGAAGCCATTGAGTTTCATCTGGAGTGGGTGGAGAGGGCGCACCCGCTCCATCTGAGGCGCCCTCTTGGAATTGACTCGGAACGGGTCTGGAAAGATCTCCGGCAAGCTGCTGTCTTCTGGGATTCACTGCTGTGTCTCTGGATCAAAGCCATTGATGCGCTGAGATGGCTCCTGGAGGCAGATCGTGGGCGCGACAGCCAGGACCCCAGGCAGGCGGAGATGGATCATCTTGAGAGGGGCAAAGTGCCTCCTCATCTGGGCTCCCCAAGCCACTCCCAGGGCGGCTGGCCCAGACAATTCAGAAAGCAAAGGCCCCTGCCAATGCCCATTCACATCTGCTGCAGCCCTGCTGTACCCCTACTCTTCACCAGCCCCTTTCTAGAAAAACTCAGGGACCTTGGCCATTGACTACCTTTTAGATAGGAAGAAAAGAGGGGGCAGAGCAGTGATGAGACACGCGGGGCCTCATGGGATGGAGGTGGATCCCACCCTTCCCTCCCCACCCCAATGAGACCCCAAGTCGCCGCTCACGAACGGCCTCTCTGGCTCCTGATCAAGCTGCTTAATGACCATGATCCCAGAGACTCAGAAACAAATCTCGGAACCCAGTGGCTTTTGGCAGAAATGTATCCAGACCCACAATAGGTTACTGTCGCTGGGCCACCCCAGGGGGGAAAGGGTGTTGTCCCTCCGCCTGCTCCCCCTAGGTGGCTGCCATTCTCCAGAGGCCATTGGACAGTCAGATTTGGGCACTCAGTGATGACACATGTGGGACCTCATGGGATGGGGGTGGAACCTGCCCTTTCCTCCCCGTCCCAACGAGACCCCAAGTTGCCGCCCATGAACAGACTTTCTGGCTCCTGATCAAGCTGCTTAATGGCCATGATCCCAGAGACTCAGAAACAAATCTCAGAACCCAGCAGGTTTTGGCAGAAATCCCTCCAGATTTAAGTGTTAAAATTTCGGAATTTCAAAATTGTGCGGCCACTACTGCAGCCTGGAGCGATAGCACAGCAGGTAGGGCGTTCGCCTTACAAGCGGCCAACATGGCCGACCCGAGTTCGATTCCTCCGCCCCTCTCGGAGAGCCCGGCAAGCTACCGAGAGTATTCGATATGCCAGACACAGTAACAACAAAGTCTCCAATGGAGACGTTACTGGGCCCGCTCGAGCAAATCGACGATCAACGGGAGGGCCTTTACCTTTTACCTTTTTACTGCAGCCA